TTTCAAAAGGGCTTCCTGGGCTGGCCAGATGGCTCTGCTGGTAAAAGCATAAAGTCTGACAATAGAGTTTGATGCCTGGAGCCTACTTGGTGTAAGGAGAAAGGCAATTTCTGCCTGTTATCTAACCTCCACATGTGTGTTATGAGCATGCATGCACGTGTGCATACACACAAACTAACTAGATAAAAATGTAAGAAGAATGTTTAAAAGGCTTCCAAAGATTGACGGGAAGGAATACTGCCAGCTCAGCGGTAAGTCGGTGTAGATATTGTACTGATCCAATGGCCACTGAAGTTCAAATGCCACTCAGCAACAATTAGGGGTGTGGGTAACAGAGAGAGGAAACGTGATGGGGAGAAAGAGATATTAAGGGAAGGGTGGAGAAGAGAAAAAGGGAAGATACTGGAGTACAAATGACAAGACAGTAAAAGGGGCAGTTATTGGGGAGAAGGAGTGGAGAAGAGGGAGACGGAGTTCGGGTCAGGTGGTAGGGGAAGAGATAAAGAAAAATAAAGTATAATGACGGGTGTATGAAAATGCTACAATTATAAGGGGAAGCGTAGGGGTGAATATAATCAAAATACATTGTATATGAAATTCTCTAAGAATTAATAACAATATTTATAAAAGAAAATGTCATAATTCAATCCATTGTTTTATATGCTAACTTAAAAAATAAATTTTAGAGGCTGGAGATATGGCTCAGTGGTTAAGAGTGTGCACTGATCTTCCAGAGAGCCTGAGTTCTATACCCAGCCCCCATGTCAGGTGACTCCTAACTACCTGTGACTCCAGTTCCTCTACCTGACTCCAACACCTCTACCCTCCCCTTCTGAGGGCGCCCATGCACATACTCCACACAGACACACTTGTACATGTTGTTAAAAGTAAGTCTAAAAAAAATAAAATTTAAAGTTGAGTGGTTCTCTAAGCACTTGAAAATAAAGAAAACATGGGATTGGGGAATTAAATGAATTCACAGTGGTGGAAAATGACAATGTCTCATGGGCTCTGAATAGTTACTTGATTGGTGAAACTCCTAATTCAACAATGATAGTAAAGTGGAGAAAGAATAATTCAACTCAAAGAAGCTCCTGCTTGGGGAAGCAGTAAATGTGGGCAACGTACAGTTAGCACCATCCACTCCAAAGACAAGCTGAGACTGGACTTGGTGACCATCTTCTTGGTTAAAAGTTTTCATTGTTCCAAGCAAAGACAAAGTTCTGTGGCCCCCCCACCCCCCACCCCCACCAGAAATGTCCTTATCATTCAGTCAATGACTGTCTCTGGAAACTGAGTTCGATTTTTAGTTTAGTTTTTGTTGTTGTTGGTATTTTTGTTTTGTTTTGTTTTGTTTTTGAAATAGGATCTCATGTAGCTCCAGCTGGCTTGGAGCTTGGTTTCAAACACACAGCAATTCTCTTGCTTCTGCCTCTGCCCTTGTACTTAATGCCTGTCAAATTCTCAATGTATATACTTACAATTCAGGATGGAAGGTGTATTCCTTATTAAAGTTGTTAAATAAAAATTACAGGAAACCATTGTTTGGGATTAAGTTTCTATACTATGGCTCAACAGGCTAAAACTAAGCATGGAAACTGGTGTGGTAAGACCATGCCTATAATCCCACAGCACTGGGGATATAGAGGCAGGAGGATCACTTCAAGTTCAAGGCCAGCCAGGCCTACATATTGATCAAGTTCCAGGACAACTAGGACTTCGTAGTAAGTAAGAATCTATCTTGAAGAGCCAAACCAACCGATCAAACAAATTTAAAAATCAATCAATCAATCAATCAATCAATCAATCAATCAAACAAACAAACAAAAGCCAAAAGCCCTCATGATGTTAAAGCTCCACAACATTGAGCCGTTCACCTGAGTTGAGAAATTGGATTCGAGGCTGGTGGGCATAGGTCACCACCCAGTTTCAATTGCTGTGACAGGAACGGTTTCTTTGCTTTAACCCTTACAGGAAAGAAGGTACTCAAATCACTGGCTGTTAACCAATTGTTTGTCTATTGTTAGTCTCCCTGCTCAGCAGTGGTAAGGGAAGTAGCTGAAATGCCCAATCAGCCCTTTGTTCTTTTGTCTCTGCTTCCTTCCATCTTTCTGTCTAGGAAACCAATGTTTCCTGCTTAGCCTATAGGGATGGGCACCTTCTGAAGTGTTGCTCAATTCTAGAATCATGTCTATTAAGATCTTTAATGACCGAGGGTGTAGTATTGTCGTAGAGTGCTTGCTTACCATGCTTTTGGCCCTGAGTTGGACCCACAGCACCACCACTCCTAAAAAAGAAAGAAGGTCCTAGATGGGGTCTCCTCTTATTTCCCTTTTCTCACTAGGTCTCTTGTGATG